GAATCCGCTAGTGCTTTGTTGGATTGGGTTGGTTCTTTTTGGCTTCTATTTTATTTCCCATTTTGATTTTCTAACTTTTATTTTTTCAGGTTGAGGATTCCATAGATTCCAAAATATTTGGCTTTGAAGATTTACGGGATGGAATAGTTTTTAATTCCATTTTGCTGAATATGTAATTACTCCCTTTTATTATTTATATTGATTTCCTTTGTTTTAGGAACATTCCTTGGTTCAATTCACAATTAAACTCAAACAACTTCCAAGCATACAATGAAAATCTAAACGAATTGTTATTGACAATTCTTTTAAAATACTTTGAAAATCGATTTGAAAAATGCCTAAACATCAAAGATATACCAAACTTGACTATTCTCAACCCCAATGTCTCTTTTAAACCTGATCATTGGATTGAAGTATACAAAATGGGCATTTTAGTTTTTTCTGCTTCCATACAAAGTGAAGATGATTTCAATTCTATCACTATCAAAATTGGAAAAGAAAAAGCCTTGGTTTTACTCGATGCTTACAATAATGTATTTATTTTTTATACTTTACTGAATCTAACATTTTTTCATTTAGTTATGGCTCAGAACAAGTCAGTGTTTTCCCAATTCAAAAAATCAACTTATCAACTCCGATCGATCTTTACAGAACTCTCTCCTTTTATCAAAATATACCCAGAACGATCCGAATACCAATTCCCAATACAGCAGATCTTCAGATTTTTATGATGCTAATTCAAAGCTTTACTATTCTAAAGCTGAATTTTTCCACAAAAACAATTTGTCAGCTAGTGGTAACTTTCCCAAAAATAATCCAGAAACTAGTCAAGTATTTAGTGAAATTTTGGACATAGTTGTTGGGAATAATTCTTTCAACCGTTCAGCTATCAATAACAAACATGAAAATTCTTTAAAAGGGAGTAAATCTAATGATTCTATTATTTCTGAAAATTCTATTGGGTCGGAATCTGATATCTATGAAAGCTCAGATTCAGATTCTAATTTAATAGATGATCAGCTGTCAGAATCTCATCCAATTTACACTGACCTTATCGAAGATGCTCAAAATACTCAAAATATTCAAAATAATTCTGAACGCAACATTGGCTCTTCTGCCAAAAACGTTTTTCCTGCTACAACCTCTGGTTTTGATGAGGATGATGGATATGCCAACAGTTCCAGAAACACAAGTTTTGAATCTATAAACGATCTTATGATTGGGTTCGATATTAATGGCACAGATGTATCTGCCATTAGGAATTATACTTCAAGAAATTTAAAATCCAGAAAGTCCGACCAATTCTTTGGTTATCTTTTTTACTTGAACTCGGTATTATTTGTTGCTTATGGATTCTATCAAGTTTTATCTACAAAGGTTTTTGAACTATTCAACTCTAATTTTTTATTTCAAAAACCATCAACTATTTTATTCTAATCTTTTGTAAACAATTCGTGTATAGATTCCTGAAAAAGTTCCTGACAGAGACAAGATCTTGTATTTTGCACTAGTTGACATTTTATGTAAGACAACTATTACATTTTTTTCTTTGTGCTTATTTTAAAAAAATTTTATTAGTGATAGCAGCAGTGTTTTCTATTCTCTCTGCTATTGTTGGATGGTGCTGGATAAAAATTTCAAAAACCAATGCAAAGGTATATATATTCTTTATTGTTATAAATCTGTTAATATTTATTTTCTCAATAGACTTTAGTTTGGTTAACTGTTATATTTGTTCCTGTTACCTGTATTATGGTTGCTATGAATGCTGGATTTAACATAATTTTTCCTGGAAACCAGAATGGAAGAAAGTTTGAATATGAAATCTGGATAAGGTATCAATTTTATTAGTTGAAGTATACTAATTTTCTTTGGCATGTTTTCACTTCTAACTTTTTTAATTTCTAGAAATGTATTTGTTCTTACTGGGTCCCTTTTTATTGCCATGAAAAATATATTATATCTGGTTCGAAAAAAATCTATAATTCATAAAGCAGCAAGCATTATAAGTGTAATATTATTGTTATTTATTTTTGAAGCTAAATTATAAGATACATTCTTATACAGCTTATTTTTTTAATTATAGGTGGTATCACAAGTAGCTCAAGATCTACGAATGATATTTGATCTTGGAATGTTTATCTTGAGCCTTTTTATCTTTGCATCCTTTGGGTTTATGGTATTTATTTCGAGTCTAACTATTTATATGAACCCACTTACAGGTAAACTTGATTTGAATATACTTTTCAACTTTTTTATATTTATACATTATTTACTTTTAGAGTTTTATTCCTTGGGTGTTGATGTTTTGGTATGGTATATTGTATCATTTGTTTGGATAACCTGTGTTATTCTGCAATTCCACAGGTATTTTATTTTTTTTGTTCTTGATCTAATATTTGATTTGGGACTACATATTTATTTTCTTTTAGAGCTGTTTCTTCATCTACAATTGGGCAGTGGTATTTTCATCGTCATGAACCTGGGGATACTGGCAAATGGTTTTTTGGACAAACTTCGGTATATTTGGCATTAAGCGACTGGTTTGGGACTATATGTCTAAGTGGTTTAATTCAAATGGTAGCTGTCATTGTTACGGGTTTCAAATCTATTGCAAATGTAAGACACTCTACTTTTATTTATGGAAAAAACTTTCAAGCGTTTTTATTTCAATTGACCTTTTTTCTAACTTTAATTTTTAGTTTATTCTGAGACTCGTTCTGGGTTTATTAAGTACACCGATTAGTTTGTTACTTTTTCTAGTTCCTGGATGCAACATACATACATTAACTTTTGGAAAAATACAAGGTCAGTGGATAACTGTTGCTAGTAGATACACTGTTGTATATATGGGGTTGTCAGGGCTATCCTTTATTGAGTGTTTCAACAAAGTAAAACCTCTACTTTACAAACACGAATTGATACTATCGCCTACATGTAAGTTTTCTATTTATTTTTGAAAAGGAGATGATAATTCTAATTGTTTTATTTGTTATTAGTGTACATGATTGAATCAGTTTTTGATTCAGCAAGTTGGTTATTTACATTACTATCAATGAATGTGTTATCTGGTTATGCTTTATTTGTTCTTAAATCGCCTCTTGCATTTGCAATATCTATTCCACTTTCGATATTCCCGCTGTTGTCTATAAAATTTGTGTTCAAGGTTTTCCTTCATATGTAAGCAAACCAAACTGTCATAATTGTGAATTTTCATTAAATTGGTAATATTTATTAAAATATTTGTAATTTTAGATTGGACTCTTTGGTGGTTTGTTATGCTATTGATTTGGAATCAGGATCATGTCATTCGGTGGACGTTGAAAATGCATTGGCATTTATATAAATACTATTTAAAAGGAGTTGGTGTATTTGTATTAACAGCCTATTTTGAATATAGCTGGTTTGTTTTTCTTGGCATTTAGCCATTAATATATGTAAGATAGTGAATTTAAAACGGACACAGTTTTAAGCTGTATTTTGTGTTGATTATTTTTATACAAATATGAACATTGAATAACTAAATAAAAATGACTAATGTATACTTTCTGAAAATTTGTAAGTGGAGTTAGTCGAGTATGGAGCCACACATTGATTTGATAACTTTCCTAAAGAGCAAAAAATAGTTAGTTTTAAGATTAATTTAGCGCAAGTAGATTTGGGGGTAAAATAAGTTAAATACGAGAAGGGGATGGTACCTTCCAAATGGGATGTAGCTGGCGGAATACCACACTAGAGCACAGAACTGAATAAGGACGAAAATCAGGCAAATCAAACCAGAGCCGTTAGTGAAAGCGATGATTAATGTGAGGATCAAGAAAACCAAATAGACTAATCCAGCAATCAAGCGAACTAATATGAAAAGAAATTAACTGTTGGAAATAATGTAAAAAATGGGGCGTACCTGGGGCAAAAGCCATTTTAATTTGTTTTTTGAATCCCACTAGAAAACCCAAGCTATAAATCCAAAAGTTAGTTTGGTAAATGGAAAGGTTGTTAACAAGAATAAAGTACCTGAACAAACTCAAAAGGTTTCCTATAGAATACATTATAGCAAAACCGCTAGTGTTTGAACTGAAGAGCATCGCAACACCAACAATCATTAAAATAAAACCGGCTATTATACAAGCACCAAATGCATATAAACGTTCGGTTCTAGTGAGGCCAAAAAGACCAGGGTCTTGTCCGAAAGGATCTGAAATCATGGTGGTGTCAACACCAGAGCGCATGTGGAAGGGTAGAGACATTTTGTTTAAATTTTTGAGAGGACGAAAGAGGAGCTTTTTAGGTAAAAAGAGGAAGTTAGGAAGAATATGAATATCAAAAGATTAGGCTTCGAGCCAAGGTAAAACTGTTTGTTGGGTCAATGAATAACAAACAATCTGTCCTTTTATTTATGAACAAAGATTGAAATTAATATTGACCAATCAGCAATCTATTTTTCAGCCAATAAAATAGACGAATGACACAAGTTATAATTGGGAATTACATTTTGTAAACCAAATAAACTTGAAAATTTCTAATTTCTTGGCTAAAGGTTTATATCAAAATCGTTTTCATTACTCCAAAAATAAGTTTATAAACACACCACTTGGTTTTTAAACCTTCCATATATCAAGAGCGCAAATAAAGTCCTCAAAAAACTGATTTATTGGAAATATAAAAAAAGAATATCCTAATTTTAAGCTGTAAATATCTATACTGAAGATTCCAATGATGCTGGGTTGGCTTTAATAAGTTGCTCTGTTCTATAAGCAGAGTAGTAAACTTGCGCTCCCTTCAAAACAAAAATAGACCCAACCGTTATAAGTACAATCGCCATAAAATCATTAAATATAATTGGATCTTTAAAAATATCCCCTTCAGAACCGCTGTCACTAATTCCCGGA